CAAAATGATCAGCGAAAAATTCTCTACAAACTCTGATATGAAAGAAAATCTTCAGACTATCCTTTTTACTCATTTATGCGTAAAAACAAAAAAGTACATGCTTTTTACGGCCCGCACCGTACGAATAATCAACAATCACTTGTGTCTCTAAAACGTCGATGAAAACGCATGAAATGATGTTCATATCATACAGAATCACCTATTATTCAGGAAAACAACGCATTCTTATCGATTATTTCGAGAAAAAACGTGCTTTCACCGGCGTCAAAGCCATTTCGTCTAAGATAATGCATGTTTTTCGAAGAAAAGTAGATTTTCGAGCCAGATGGAATGTGTCTTCCAGCGTTGATTGACTAATGCGTTCAACTTTTCTCTAGAGTTCGTCGTCTACAAACGTCAAGTAAGCTGATTTATTAGATTTTATTAGTAGAGCAAAAACGTTTTTTCTAAGAAAGAAAATTTTCATGGAACAGTAATCACCAGTGTGACTATGTCAAGGATCGTCTGACATCGACCACGCCCCCACATCACGACATAAGGCATTGTACGAATCAGAAACATGAGAAATGGTGAATCTGCAACATCGCACCGTTCAATTTTCATCTCAATACTAAAGTTCGATGTTAAAGGAAATGACTCCACAATGACGATCGTCTCTGTTCTTGGTTTCAGTGATGAGTTCTGTACAATCAAATTGGCTACGGTCGTCGAAAACACTCCAATCTGATAAGACGGAACATGCCGAAATATCAATTTATAATTCATAGTCTTCGTTATTGATGTTAATTCGACTTCTTTGATAGCGATGGTACGATTGAATGTATCATCGAATGTGCAATTAGTTGGTTTTGTACACTGTTGATTGACTAATGATTGGCCTGTTTTAGCTGAAAACTCGTCGAGAATCGGTGATAAACCAATATTATCAAATGATGCGAGTGTAATCGATGCTGAACGGGAAATGAGTGGAACGAGAACAGGTAGATTGGTAGGAATCTCGATTCGATAGATCGATTGTGATACATGTTGCACAGTGACAATTTTCGGGTGTGTACTGGTGAATGGATGTCGTGTACAAGCAATAATGAAGATGATGAGAAACGTGAAGACAAGCAAAATTAATGTCCGTCCAAAATACAATGTTCGTTGCATGTTCGGAATAAAGATGAGGAAGAATAAGGTGTCTAGGAGAGCTATGAGGACACTGATCACGACATCGTGTGGTACGGGTATTGTTTGAAACATGCGACCCATCATCGGAATTGTCATACGAAGAAGACGACTTGCCATTTCGAATGAATGAATGAGTGGTAATAGTGAGGTAATGTAAGGTGCAAATGTCCAGTACCATCGTTGTTCGCCAAAAAACCGTGGTACTTGATAATGCATCCAACGAAAACCGAATTCAGTCAGCATCAATAGTAGATAAATTGGACAGACAAAAATTGACCAGATAAGAATAATATAAAGAGAACGAAAACCAAGACAGATGGAGACGATCATAAAGAGAGTAAAGACAAGAAGTAATGCAAAATGTCGTTCGAAGTCGAAGATACGTCGGTTCACTGGATCCATATCGACTGGTTTTATGTGATTTGAGTCTTTTTTTGGCCATTTCGATAGAATCCATCGATAACATACTGCCCAGAGTGCTTCCGCAGAAATCATACCGATCAAACACGGAATACCAAAGAGAAAGAAGGCCAAAGTTGAATTACCGAACCATGACAGAGGTCGAATCTTAGACATGAGAAATGCAATGACAACGGGCAGTAGAATACCGACAATTATTGAAAGTAGAGAAGATATGACAAATATGAAAATGAACACGATTCGCATGATGATAGCATAATTGAAGTAGAAGTAGATAGAAAGAGAATCGTCCGATGAAGGATGTCGTCGTTGCCAGAGATGATCGAGTACAATCATCAGAATACCAACGAGAAAAACTAATCCGATAAGAATGGCTTGCACGATGGTTGATGTAGACATTCTATAGGTAATCAGATGTCGACCGACCAGATCAAAATAGATGAGATTATCGTCGTCTGCAATGCTATATGACTGTTGCAAATCGACACGACCCAAAAGGATCTCACGGGATAGAGCAAGTGTATTCTCGCCTAGATGTTGCAGAGCACCTTCTTTGACAGTTGATGGTCGATCGAGTAACGTATGATAACTGTAACCATCGAGGTAGAATGCAAAATCGTATCCTGGCAATGAACCTCTCGTGGCAAACTCGCTGTAATCTGTGTCCCTTCCGAGCAACTCCAGAATTTCGTTTCCAATGACATTGGCATGAGGTCTTGGTACTCTTGCATAGTCGACAACAAGCTATGAAGATTTGTTTGAACGATAAAAGAAGAGTGATCGAGAAGAGACATAGACAGGTACTAGTACACTTCGTCGCACGACACTTCGTCGCGTTCACTTCGTCGCAATCACTTCGTCGCACGATCACTTCGTCGCACGACACTTCGTCGCATTCACTTCGTCGCAATGATAATTCATTGCAATAAGTTATCATATATAAAGAAAAAAATTAATTAATTGAATTAAGCAATTCGGATTGGTCTGTTATTCAATTTTTCACCGTGTAAATTTTTTTCTTTAGTCTGATTACTCAATAATACAAGCTTTTTAAAAAAAAAAGAAATATAGACCTATCGAATTTCTACTCCTGTATTGTAAATTGATACTAACAAAAACGTTAGACTTGATTTTGCATAAAATTTCTAGAAAGTTAATTAAAGAAAAAACTTTTTTTCGTATATGAGAAACACCTTCGAATTGAAAGATTTTATGTGATCCAATAAAGGATTGAAAACTATTCAGTCATCGATGTTTCAAAAAAATATGATCTTAGATACAATAAGAAATAAAAAAGATGCTCTAGTTTTTAAGTTTGGTATATGCTCTTAAAAATCAATGTTTGACTTGTAATGTCCTTAACATAGTCAAAATCAATTTTAATAAGCTTTTGCGTAAATTTTCTCAATATAAATTTATAAAATTCAATTTTAACTTAACTCTTTCGCTGTAAACGAAGTTAGGTTGTTTTAAAACAATTTTTTCTTTAATTTAAATCTTTTAAATTCAAAGACGCCACCTATGCATAATGATATAAAAAATAATGTGTTCCAAATTTATTACGATTATTTTTATTTATGGTCGCAGCATGAAAAATTGAAACCAAGCAGAAAATTTTTAAAATTAATTCATGTATTTATCAAATAGACTTTCTAATCACAAACAATTGTCCCTAAAATATTGAGTGAATGATAAATTTCAAACAAGAGAGAGTTTCATGTTAGTTTAATGCGTAGATTTTCTTAGCTCAAGGTTTTTTCAAAAATCACTTTGAAACACTTTAGTTTTATTTAATAGCAGATTACTTGCATTTTAACAAAATAATTTCTTAAACATTATCTTCAAAACCAAATTATTTCTTACTCTGAGTGCATATTATACCTATTATGTTGCTGTAATAATTACATGCTAGGGTATACATTCATGTAATTAATTAGGTAACAGACTAAACGGCATCACTTAATCCAATTAAGTTCATTTTTTTCGTTTAAATACGATGAATTTATCGCAACGAGTTATCATTGCGACGAAGTGAATGCGACGAAGTGTCGTGCGACGAAGTGATCGTGCGACGAAGTGATTGCGACGAAGTGAACGCGACGAAGTGTCGTGCGACGAAGTGAGCGGTCACCCATAGACAGACCTGTGATGGTTTGACACGAAAAAGAATGGCTTTCTCGTTGCTACCAGTTGAATCAATATTGATGAATCGTCGGACGCTTGCTTTCCAGGTATGATTACTGATGAATGCTGCAGCGCCTCCCAAACTCAGTTCTTCAGCACTGGTGAATAAGACAATGAGATGCACTTGATCGAATGTGATGGTGGGATCGTTGACCAGATTCGAGAGAACTTCCAGAAGAGTAACAACACCTGAACCGTCGTCACTGCCGCCTGGACTGAATTCCACTGTATACATGCAAGATAAAAGAGAAAAATCTTTTTTCAATCGTATTCCTATTTAAAAGTACCAGAGTCATAGTGAGCAGCTAGCATAAGACATGGTGTATCTGGTTGTGATGATGGATTCGAAATACGAACAGCAATATTTTGCAATTGATCAATATCATGGGTCATGAAATTTTGTAGACTGAGATTGAATTGGACAGTTGCCGTTGCTGTAGAATGAATTCGATGAATTTGTGAAATGAGAAAATCACGCGTGAGATAATCAATTCGAGTATTGATCACTCGTGGTCCATGTTGAGTCAGATTGGCATAGTAATCACGAGCGCGTTGTTCACTAAAAAAATGTGAAGCAATTGCTCGTGGTCTCATCGAGGGCAATACATAGGACAATTCGAGTGCCAATGGACCGGCAACAAGAAAAAGACAACCAAAGAGAATAACCCATAGAACAAGTGAGTGGTACCAATTGGTTTGATTGTTCGACTTGATTAACCTATAAAGACGATAGAATGCAGAATAAAATGTTGAAATAATTGTTTCTCTGTACGATTAGAGCAAGAGTGCTGAATGAAAGCATAATCCATAAGACGTGAACAATGAATAGGGATACCTTTGCAAAGCTTTAGAAGCTATATTTTTACTCATCCAGATGCGATTATTTGCCATTCTTATTGAAAAAATCAAATCTGATCAAAGTAATGAAATATAATTGTTTTTGTCGGCTTGCGATGATGCTTATACAGCTTGTGAAAGTAATGTATGCCTATGGCTTATCATAAGGTCATCAAATTTATATGATCCTTCTCTTTCTCCTCGCTTGCGCTATACGATTCAGGTAATTTTATAGTATAAAAGTCAATAAACAAGTAAATTTATGGACTAGGCTGCAGTTTCAAGAGCATACTTTTTGCTGTAAAGAATCCTTACAGACTGACGTCATTTTGTTGAATCTCTTGATCGTTCTCGTTTATCTACATCGAAAGACATATTGCTAGCAATCTCAAGGCTCCCTTTGTCATTTATACTCATAAGTTTATTTTATTTTTCATCGTTCATTGAAAAGGTTTGATGCATACTTTCCATTGTACAAACGACAAAATTTCCTCGCCCACTTTAATGAGAAAATACTGTCATTAATAAATGTCGTTAGAAATATTCAAACCAGAAGTATATAGATTGCAATTCAATGTCTTTACTGAACAAATACGTTGTCATAATGATATTTTCGCGTGTTTCTATTTTTATTTTGTAACGCGAGCACGACCTCACCTTCATCAAAATCTTATCTGGCAACCCATCTTGAGGATTTGGAATGTGGGATGGTTAGATGATGTGGGTGAAGAGAAGCATTTCATTCTAACCCGACACCTCCATATGACTCGTATTGAAGTATCAATTAAATCTGTCACGATTGGGTTATTGAACAAGAAATGAGCTGCGGAGTGATGTTGATTTGCCAAGGGGTGTACTGTATTATTACTTTCTCGATCAACCAATCATTTCATTTCCTACACAAGTGCTTCAATAGTGGGATAAGAGATGATGCCACTAGAAAACAAAGAAAAACAACAGCCAGTCAAACTGAATCAAAGTTGACGTATTCAGCTTCTAACGGAAGCTATACTTCGTTTTTGAACAGGATAGTTCGCATTTTGATCGGATCGGATTCGACTATGCCAACCCTCATTAAGCTGATCATTGCTTATTTGTCTATATATCACTGAATTTCTGAGGCAAACTATCCGACACTGATTGCACATGAAACATGGTGCCATGAGAAGTAATATGGGACTGATGTTTGAATGTAAAGGTGATTCTTTCAATGGAGAAACAGATCTTAATTCTACCAGGAAAAAATTGATAGCTCCACTTGCTGCATTGATCCATATATTATTCAGATAGAAATAATTTATTGTTGGCTTAAGAATGTTTGTTTGCCTCATATGTCTGCGTTTATGTTAGAAATACTGTTTCCTTATCTAAAACACATAGAACCTGAAAGGAGAGAGACAATAGCATTATAAACGATAAGTCATTGACTATAGACGAAATGCTATTTCACAATCTTCTTCTTTCGACAAACAACGTGAAAGACAATTTTATTGCTCCCGTTATGAAAAGATACATCGTTTCATGTTCACGATAGAGAAGTTACATGATGCCTACGTATCTGGTGTGAGGTTCGCTTCGAAGCATTTGAATAAAATTAATCTGTGTAATCCATACCACTTCGCGGAAATGCATCTTTTTGCAGAATCTGAACCATTTTACTAGAAAAGTTTGAATAATACTATTTCTAATCTCGTAGCTACTCTGATGAATATGTGAAAAGTCAGCAGAACACGAAAAACAGCAATTTCGAATTATTAGGTTCGAGAAATTTTCAAAACACGAGAAACAAATGTGAGTAATTCTATGTGCTAGGTTATTTTGACGAATAAAATTCAATTTTTTATTACAAAATTACCTATGCATGTACCCTACGTTGGGGCTGGAATCGGTCCGGTTAAACCGGTACCAGATCAGATCGTACCAGTTGACAGTTTCGAAAAATCTCCTTTGTTGACCCTGTCTTTGGCCATAAAAACTAATATTTTGATATCAGAGTAATTACATAAAAAGTGCTCAAGACAGATATTATTTTCATTATTTGTTTTGAGATTCTCTTTAAAGATATTCATTATATTGAGTATCTCTTACATGCTCTTCTCAACTATTTCATATTTTGG